AAATTAATTGCTAATTGCATTATGCATTTTTCAACTTTTTCAGGAATATGAAGCCATCTATCTAGCAAAATTAACCATCCAGATGATGTCACCACTGCAGCTGGAGAGATCCCTCTCGGTTCCACCTGGGAATACAGGTGAGAAGCCCCTCCTGTCGTGTGTGAGATGATTTTTACACTCCCCTAAGTAAACCTTTGGGAGCAGAATAAATTGGGATGGCTGCAGTAGGTGTGCAAGCTGTGTCCAGACTTCAGTATGCTTAAATATTCTGTTCTCCAATGACTGAACTTCCCCCTTCTCCCTTTTGCAGGAAGTTTAAAGAGGATGCACGAGGAGGATGAAGAACTTGGAACCATGCAAGTGGCAGCAGCACAGAATGGATGAGAGCTGAGGACAAGCACTGTTTGTATTATGAATTCCTGCCAAGAAAGGTGAAGAAAACTAGGGGAAAAAAAATGACTTAATAATGCAAAACAATGAACACACATTGCTTCTTTTCAATTACATGTTGCTTTCAGATGTAAATCTGCCTCTGCAACACACTAAGCATCATTTTTAAGATGTTGGACTTCTTGAATGAATAGATGGCACTGATTGTTTTACTCCTTTTTTACACTTTACAGTTTTATTCTAAACCAAGATTTTTGGACTTGCAAAGAGGTATTATTGCAATAATGCACTTTTCATACTTGAAATTTCTTTATTTGTATGATATAAAGTTATTACTTTAAACAAAATGCAAGCGGGGGGGGATTTGTTTATAAAGTTATTTGTGTAATTTATAACAAGAGACTTTAGTAAAGAAAAAGTTTGCTAAAACTCACCTTGTTCTCAGTATATCTCGTGGTAGAAACGTGCTTTAGGAGCTGCAGGATGTGCTGCTGCTGGCAGTGAGCTGAGCAGTGTTTAACCTCATTGTACACTGAATTATCTTGAGACTGGCACTCTGGGACCAATTGAAGACTGTTCTGAAAATCTCCCTGTTTTATGGAAGTGAAAGTTGAACAGGGTACTGATGACTTAATAAAATAATCATGTGTTGGGCTAGTACAGAGGGCAGCCAGTTTGACACACATCAAGGCTGAGTTCTTTTAGCCAGCATTAAAAAGCTGCTTGTAAATGAGTTAAGGGTTAATTCAAGTTGAACAAACATCTTCAAACTCGTAGTGAAGGAGTAGTTGCTGTTATAAGACAACAGCTGCATTATTTGAGGTAAAAACCTGGGGTGCTGTTTGAAAACTGAGGCCCAAAGCGCTGCCTGTTATGGGACCAAGACTTCAAGGATTCACCTCAGGTCTGGTGAAACACTGGAGTCAACTAAGGAAACACTTGTTGGTGCTTTGAAGTTTCCAAATTGGGAATTGTCAGGGTGGTTTGTGCAGCTTTAACTCTTCTCCTGTCCCAGCAGCACAGAGGTTGTGCAAGTCCCAGTTCTGCATCTGCTTTATTTCCCAATGTTTCGTGCATAAAAGCTGGGAATGGAATGATGGTTCCTTGGGAGCACTGTGGGGACTGAGCACTTCAGAAACCTGTTAGAAAATCCTGTGGATTTGGGAAATCTGAGCTTGTACCTGGACTGTGTTTTAACATGGAGCAGGTGGGCTCAAGATTTGGGGATCAGGGCATCCCCCTGCACTTGGATATGGCCATGTGGGGATGGGAATGTCCTCTGCCACCTCAGAATGGACAACCTGTGCTGGGGGGATTCCCTGAGGGCACAGATCTGTGGATTTGAGGATAGGAATTAAACAGTGCAGTTGTTTAGTACTGGGGGGGGGTCTCCTTTCTCTGGCCTTGCAGCTCCTGGGAAGGTCTGCTGAGGGCTGGTCCCTCTGGAGCACGTGGAGCTTTTGGCCACGTCAGGGTAGTTAAACCTGGTTTGAAAATCTGTGCCTGGATTGGAGCTGCTCTGGGACAGATGTGGGTGACACCTGAGGAGGAAACATCCCACAGTGAGTCACGGCTGTTTAGCTGAGCCAGAACACAGGGTGAGGCTTTCCAGCTAATAACCTCTGTTCCCATGGAATGTGAAGGCCCTGGAGTTCTCACCAGTGATCAGCAGGAACAGGGAAGTGCTGCTGAGAACCTCTGCCACCTCCAGCAGTGATGGAGCAGCGTAAATCCTTCAGGGGGAAAAAAAGAAACAAACCCTGGAATAAAAAGTCTGATGCTGGAGTTACGAAATTTTCAGCTGGAAAAAAGGAAGTGACTTCTCTTCTGGAGAACTGCCCTGTGTCAGTGTTCAGCCCACAGGCTCAGCGTGCAGGGCTGGTTCTGCAGCGGTGGAGGGTTTGTTACTTCCTACGAAGTGACTCTCCATAAAGGAATTCTTCTGGGGCTGTTGGGAAACACATTCCCGGCCGTTCCACCACGAGGCTCCCACATGGCTGCACGGCTCAGACACTGCCAGCCACGAGCTGCTGGTGGAACAGGGGTGGGAACCAGCAGATCCCTTTCTATTTTGGGTCCCTGGGGAAGGGGAGGGATGAAACACAGATGGAAGGCACTGATTCATCTCACCAGGCTCATCCATGTGCAGTCTGGGGCCGTTATCCCTGGGGTCCCGGGGAGACTCTGTTACTACTCCATGACTAAGGATTTTTCACCAATCCAGGTTTTTTCCATGCCGTCACCACATCCTGATGCCTTTTACAGTCATTCTGATCTGTCTGCCTGTCACATCCTAAGGGATTCAGAGATTAATTTCGCTCATATCTATTATTAAGCCTTTTATTTAAAACTTCCTGATGTCTGTCTCCTGTAGCTGAACTGCCAGCAGCTATTTCAGTGTTTGCTTTTGGGTTTTCAGCTCAAGGTGGGAATTGGCAGGAGGGTCCCTCAGTGTGGATTTAAAGGAGTGGTGGAGAGCAAATCATTACTTTTTATTTCCCCTTCCCCAGGTTCAGACACAAAACTGTAGCACCCAAGTCTTTGGGGATCCACAGCTCTACATTATATATAATGTGTATATATATATATATATATACACATTAGATAAATGTAGATAAATTAATGGGCTTCAGCAGTTTGGGAAGGTGGACAATATATTTCCATACCCCCTGTGGCTGTTAAATGCTGTAATTTGTGGCATTTTCCCCATTCCTGTGAGTTCCAAACACACACCTGTGACTGGTGGTGTTCCAGGGACACACCTGACCCCACAGTGGCCCCTCTAAGTCCCCATCCCGGGCAGCCTCAGCTCTCCAGCTGCTGTTTCCAGAGGGGTGGGAATGTCACCTCTGGGACAGAACAAAGAGCTCTTCAAAGCTCCAGGGCCGCTGCTGAGCCGGGTTGTGCCCGCAGAGGCTTTGTCATGCAGCCACAAAACCCAGCTTTGAACCCAATCCGTTTGTTTTACAATGATCTGAGCCGGGGCCACAAGCACCTGCTCCTCACTCCGACTAATCTTCTCATTAACTCCTAATGAGGGCCCGGAGCTATTTAGATGGTGAAGATATCATGGAATTCAACTAATCCACTTGAAAGTAGTGGAAGTTCAGAATTAATTAAAAATGTGAAAGGCAAGAAAATCCACCTCAGTCGCTTGGGCCAGCACGAAGCAGGAGCTGCTTTATAGAGTTAGTTCAGAGTCAGGGCTCAAGCCATGGAGATGTTTGTCCATGGAACACAGCTGGGAAGAGCCCTGGAGAGAAATCCATGTGGAATCTCAAAAACTGTTCAGCCTAGGGAAAGGGGAACAGGTACACACTTACTCTGGGGACCTACCACCGTATGGAAAACAGTCCAGGTACAGTTGGCAGATTTCATTTATTCAGCTTAAACAAAGATATCTTTTAAAAAAATAATCAATAAATAAACCAGACATCACCAAGGAGACACCGTATCAAGTGGAGAACCCTCAGGAACATCAAGCAGAGCTCCCAGCACAGTGTAGGGCCGCTCTCCACAGCACAATGGAGGACACTGTGCACGGCCCACAAACAACACAGGCTGTTCCCTACAAGCCCCGGGGGTTTATAATGCCCTATTCATGGATGTGGGATTTGTCACTCTCCACACAAAACACCACTGTTGAATCCAGGGCTTTGTACCTTGTTTGCCACCGCTGGCAAAAGTGCTAAAATCATTTATCCAATCTTAGAGCAAGAGGGAAGCTCCAAAGCAGCAACAATCCCTTGGGAGCAGGATGCTGGAGGGATAAATCCATACCAGCAGAAGCAGAGCCCACCTGGCCTCCAGGAGTTCCAGGACAGGAACTGTCCAAGAGGAGTTGGCCGGGTGTGTTCAGTTCACAGAACCACAGGATGATTTGGGTTCAAAGGGGCCTTAAACCCATCTTATCCCTCCCCTGGCCGCAGGCAGGGACACCTCCCACTATCCCAGGTTGCTCCAAGCCCCATCCAACCTGACCTTGGACACTTCCAGGGATCCAGGGGCAGCCACAGCTTCTCTGGGTAACCTGTGCCAGGGCCCCACCACAGTCAGGAATTCCTTCCCAATATCCCATCTAACCCTGTCCTCTGTCAATGGGAAGCCATTTCCCCTTGTCCTGTTCCTCCATGCCCTTGTCCAAAGTCCCTCTCCAGCTCTCTTGGAGCCCCTTTAGGCACTGGAAGGGGCTCCAAGGTCTCTCCTCTCTTCTCCAGGCTGAACACCCCCAGCTCTCAGGTGAAGCTGAATCTGCCAATCCCAATCCCTTTCCCATTGATTACTAGCCAGAATCCACTACAGATGGAGTATATTCCATCAGACATTCCAGCTTCCCAGTTCCCTCTGCCCTGCCACAAACCACATTTGGGTTTTTTGTGTCAGAAAACAATTAATTATCCTGAAAACCAAGTTATCAGCTAAAGTGCAGGAGCCCTGCAGTGAGAAGCACACATCCATCTTTAGACTGGAAATCCAGCACAGCCCATAAGGATCCTCCCCTACCTGTGCAAACAGTAACAAATCCAGCCTTGGAAAATAGTGCCTATAAAACTTCCAACAGCACTTCTGTGAGGTGTCATGGAAAGAACAGAACAAAGGCCTGTTCTGTGTCAGTAATTCTGCATAAGAGAAGCCTCATCCCTTCCCAGGCTCCGTCACCCTTCCATCAGCACAGGCAGCAGGACAATCCCAGGGGCTGTCCTTTGGCTACCGAGAAAAGAAGCACAAACCTTTAGAAAAATACAATGCAAGAAAAAATTTGAGATAAAAATATATACCTTTGGTTAAAAACCATCCCTTTAACGAGTCCTTTGTAACTCAGCTAGAACAGAAAAGCTTCACCTCGACTCAACAGCAGTAAAAATTAGTTCTAAGCTTTTTTCCCCTAACCCAGAGGACCCTTCTAAAGCCTCATTAATTTGTTTTCCCGGGATTTACACATTTGATGTTCATTATTTATAGGGATCATTATATTTGCAGCCATAAACTATATAAGTTTTCCACGAAGAGAATGTTTTGGAGCACAAGCTCCTCCACCAACAGTCTTTTACCACCTGGAAGTTGTTAATTAAAGAACCGTTGAAACATGTAGTTTTCCTCAGATACCAAATAGCCAAACTTCTTGTAGAAATCCACGTTTTTGGGCAGACATTCCAGCGTGATTTTGTAACAGTTCAGTGTCTTACTTAGCAAGGTGAGGGTGGATATTAATCTGGGAAAGACAGAAAACCAACAGTTAAACGTTGGGTCAGTGAACATTTAATTAAATTATCACAGTGACAACACTGAGGTCTGACAGCACTGACAGCACTCTCTGCGTTTTCCAGTGGATCATTTTATTCCCAGCTGGTGATCCCTGCTGGCTAAGTTCTTCCCAGGTCCCTGGCAGGGTGGATCTGCCCTGCAGGAAGCTGTAAGTGCTTGGTGCCCACCTGCTGCTGAACGGAAAAGGTGGGCAAATACTCACAGTTTTCCAAGCTGCTTCCCCCTGCACTCCCCGCTGACCACCACGTCTTCTATCCTCCCTCTCTGTGGAAACATAGCCAAGGGTTAGGACTGGAATTCCTCTTCCAGCTTCCCACCACGGGATCCAGGTGTGGATCTCCAGCTCAGCTCCCTGTTTTCACAGTCTGGCTGGGATTCTCAACACAGAGATCCTTGTCCACCTGCTCCATCAGAACCACGTCTGACTTGTGCAGAAGCTCACTTTTTTTTTTAGGAAAGGGAGAACAGGACAGACTTCCAAATGCAGTTTTCCCTTAGGAAAAGCCCAAGTTTTCTTTTACTGTTAGCTGAGCACCCAAATGAGAGATATTTTTAAAATGCAGAAAATACTTGATGTTTTTAAATATATTTTTAAAAACATTTACATTTTTAAGGTTGGAAAAGCCCTCTAAGACCCTTGAGTCCAATTGAGTCCAACCGTTCCCCCAGCACTGCCAAGGCCACCACTGACCCATGTCCCCAAGTGCCACATCCATAGGGCTTTGAAATCCCTCCAGGGATGGGGACTCCACCACTGCCCTGGGCAGCTGTGCCAGGGCTGGACAACCTTCTCCATGTGGAAAGTTTTCCTGATGTCCAACTTAAACCACCCCTGGCACAACTTAAGGCCATCACCACACCGTAACACCATAAAAACACCGTGTCCAGAGTCAGGGACGGGATCTTTTCCTCCCTTTCCAGCTGCAGTGACAGGATTTACCTTGGCACAGGAGTGAGTGAATTTATGTTCTATAACCAGCGTTGCTGTAGCAACGATCTGTCCAAGGTTTGTGTCCTCCACGACGGTAACGTAATAATCTCCCGATCTCTTCATGTGCTCGAAGGTTTCTGTGGGAGCAGAGAGTGGAACAGTCAATTTAGTCTCAGATTAAACTGCAGGTAAGTCTGACACTTGCAGCACATTCTGACTGCGGATTATTGTGGGATCACAAGGAAGATGCACTCAAGACCCCAGAACCTGAAAGCCCAGGAGTCAGACTAACCCAAAATAAAGCAGAAATTAAAGTGAATTCCTCTTCCTCAGGTGCCCAGAGATCCTTCCTTCCTTCCCCAGTGTCTTCGGGCTCTAACAGAATCCCAGACTGGCTTGCATTGGAAGGGACTTAAAGGCCATTTCATTTCACCCCCTTCATGGGCAGGGACACCTTCCACTAGCCCAGGTTGCTCCAAGCCCCGTCCAACCTGGTCTTGGACACTTCCAGGGATGAGGCAGCCACAGCTTCTGTGGGCAACCTGTGCCAGGGCCTCACCACCCTCACAGGCAGGAATTTCTCCATGGAAAGGGTTGTCCAGCCCTGGCACAGCTGCTGAGGGCAGTGCTGGAGTCCCCATTCCTCGAGGGATTTAAAAGCTGTGTGGATGTGGCACTTGGGGACATGGTTTAATGGTGGGCTTGGTTTAGATCCTGTGATTCCCTGCATCCCTGGCTGTTTCCCCAGTGCCTGCCTACCAAGGAGGGGGATCTAAAAGGGTCCTGAAGTGGGCCCCAAGGGAGCTGGAGAGAGACTTTGGACAGGGGCCTGGAGGGACAGAACAAGGGGGAATGGCTTCCCATTGGCAAAGTGGAGGGTTAGATGGGATACTGGGGAGAAATTCCTGATTATGAGGGTAGGGAGGCCCTGGCACATTTTGGCCAGAGGAGCTGTGGCTGCCTCATCCCTGGAAGTGTCCAAGGTCAGGTTGGATGGGGCTTGGAGCAACCCATAATCAGCCCAAATAACCCCTGCCAGGTATCTTAAGCTCAGTCTCAGAAGCAGGTTCACATATAGGCCTGTCCCAGCCAAGCAGCCCTCAGGGATCGCTGCAGCTGGATCCAAGGCTGAGTGCCAAAGGCTGCCTCAGGGGAGCTGAGCTCATCACTCCCTCTGGCATCAGGCAGTCAAAGCCTCACTCCCAGGCAGCTTTGCTGCCAGCATCAGAATCCTCTGGTTCCCAAAAACTTCTATGGAAATTCCAAGGAATAATGATATACTCACTGATAAACTGCTCCGGGCTTGCAACTCCGGTTTCCGTGAGCTGACCCAGAACCTTGAAAAAGCCTGTTGGAAAAGAGGGGGGAACAATAAACCCTCAGGGAGGGACAGATACACACAGTTAGCTCTAAATGACACCCAACAGCCTGTTTGGAGAGTTACCATCCCATGAAGCTCCCACCCTGGGCGATGCTGAAGGATCAGCTGAAGCATCGGAGCAAACTGCAGCTTGAGTGCAGAAGGTGCAAGAAAAGGGTAACCCTGGAATTATGTGATATTTAGTCGTAAGTCCAAAACAACTTTTTTATCCCAACTGCAGAACTGAAGGAGAATTCATGCACCAAGATGCCAGTTCATGTTGGTCTGGTCTTAAAGGGAACAGTATGAAAAATTGTGCTCCCTCTCTAAAGCTGTGGGGAATAGGAAGTTGTGGAATATTTGATTTAAATTTAAGATTAAAACAGTAAACCAATTTTTCAGGGTCACCCAACACAGCACCAATCCACGGTGCCAAGTGCTCAGATTCAGGGTCGTGGTCATGGCCCCAAACCTGCCAGGAGCATTTGGACAAGGCTCTCAAGGCACATGGTGGGATTGTTGGGGTGTTGTGTAGAGGGCCAGGAGTTGGACTCAATGACCCTTGTGAGTCTCTTCCAACTCAGGATGCCCTATGATTCCATGAAATTGCTTACTGATGATGAAAATAACCCAAATCAGGGAGAACGAGCAATCCCAACCTACCGAGAGCTCACGCACAAACACATCTCATTGATTCGGTGACGATCAAACAGGATCCTACCTCGGTTTAAATCAGCTGTGCAAAGTGGTCTCAGAACCAGCCCATCCCCCGGATCCAGCGGAGAAATAGCGGGAGAAAACGTTGTCGTGTTCTCGCTCCAGTCCAGCTCGTGCAGAATCCTCGGGTCGAACATGGGCGTGTCGTCGGGCATCACGGTGGCCACCGGCATCATGGCTGCGGCAGGGGATCTGCAACAGAACGGGCATGGAACGCTCTGGTTTGCTCTCACCTCTAAGTCAGTTGTTTCCCGTGGTTGTGGCACGCCCTGGGATGCTCCTGAGGGATGTAAGGGAAGGTGAATAAACTGCTGTTGACCTTCTGTGCAACTGAAGCTCCTCGACCTTCACCCAACGAGGCCGCTGGGCAAACACGGAGCGCCCTGACACCGCACAGCCCTGACACCGCGCACGTCACCGAGTCAACACGTGGCGCTTTGGTGTTTATCTTGGAAAAAACAACCTGATAAGGCACTGAGCAGGATATTTAAACTCTGCAGCCCTCTGAACGGGAAGGCATCACTCCCAAGAAACCTCCCAACATCCTCTTCAAAGATCATTTGCATTCCTGTTCACCGGCAGTAGGAATAATGCACTTTTTCCAAGCAGCCCCATCCTATAAATATTTTATCTCTTGGGCACGAGGTGCCACAACCCAGAGCTGAGAAGGCAGGTGATGCCACAGTCACAGCCCAAAGTGCCCCTCCCAGGCTGTCCTGTTTGCTCCAGGTGTTTACAGAGCCCAGCTGCCGAGCAGTGTCCATGAACAGGGAAAACACAAGTGCCAAGGTGACGGTGACACCTGTTAATGATTAAAGAGACTTGGGAACTGGGCTTTACTCAGAGTAACAGGAAGCAAAGGGATATATTTTCCTTACTGAGTTCAAAGCCAGGTTGGACGGGGCTTGGAGCAACCTGGGATAGTGGAAGGTGTCCCTGCCCATGGCAGGGGGTGGAACTGGATCTTTTTAAGGTCCCTTCCAACCCAAACCAGTCTGGGATTCCATGATACAGGAAACCACTTCTTCCTTGGTCACCCGTGGAATACCTGGTCAGGGTTCTGGTATGAGCAGAGGTCATGGGAACTTCTCCTGAGACCAGTGTCTTTTTAGATCCCCAAAATTCCTCAGCTGCACCATAAATGGTACAGGACCCACACACCAGTGGACAGGCCAAATAAACATCAGGAACAAAAATGTATTTGGGATGACACTTTTTACAGCAAGACACCTCCCAGCCCTGTTAAGCTGTGACAAAAGTACAAAGGGTGTTACCCACGAAGCATCACAGCCTAAATGCAGCACAGGAGCCTCAAAAGTGAAAGTGGATCCAGAAATCCAACCGAAAAAAAAGCTTCTCAAAATAAAAGCCAACACTAAATTTTTTTTATGCCGCCTGCTGATACGCAATGGCCTTTAAATCCCAATTCTTGTCTTAATTTTGCACATGAAAGTTAAAAAATTGCTGCTGTAGCAATTAAACAGCAACACAAACTCTTATCCTGCATGAATTTCGGGAAAGGTGAAGGGCAAAGAAAACCATTTCCACAGATATCTCTGTTCCTAGAGCTCAACTATCTCAATATTGCTGTTCCTCTGTTCTCTCACAAGACCTTCCTAGAATTCCCAAGTGTCCATACCAGCATCCAAACAGTGCCCTGCACAGAATAAAACAAACCTCACAAATTCCAGCTCAGGGTTTCAGCACACCAAGCTCACAGGGCAGTGGAAGAAATAAAATCTGTGGTGCTCTTTGAGCAATTAGTGATAAACTAAGAGTTATTTTCCAAACTGCTTCCGGCACAGCTGGAGCAGGACGGAGTTGGAAGCTTCACACATTTTCTGGAGGGAGGAATATGACTTAGATTAATGCCAATTAAAAATTAAATAAAGGATTAGTGTACAGTGAGGAATAAGAGCTCTGGCCTTTGGGTCATCCTGGTGCACAGCTGAAGTCTCCCTGGAGCATCCTGGGATCCCCACTGTGTGTTGGGAGCGGGATAGGGAGGGAGAGGGAGCAGGGTATGCCCAGGGACCCTGGGGGAGGTCAGTGGGTGCTTGGCCAGGACTCTGCCAGCTCCCCAGTTTTGGGGGACAGGATGACAGAGCCACCGGGGACTCCACCATGTGTGGCCCCTCAGGGGGTCCCCACAGCTCCCCTTCGGTGATGCAGGACCCCAACACACAACTGACCCCTCAGAGGGGTCCCCTCACCCCATACAGAAGTTCAGGGGCCCCCCAGACCCCCTCATCTCACAATCAGCCCCTCGGGGGGGTCCCCTCACCTCACACACATCCCCCCACATGCCCTCACGCCATACACGGCCCCTCGGAAGGGCCCCCACAGTTCCCCTCAGCAGCCCCTTGGTGCAGGAGCCCACACACAACCAACCCCTCAAGGGTGTCCCCTCACCCCTCACATGTCCCCTCAGAGGGGTCCCCTCACCTCACACACAACACCTCAGGGGGTCCCCAGACACCCTCGCCTCACATGCAGCCTTTTGGGGGGTTCCCTCACCCCCCACCCCTGACCTACAGACCCTCGGGGGGGTCCCATACCCCCTCACCCCACACACGGCCCCTTGAGGAGGGGTCCACACCCCTTCACACCCCATACGACCTCTCGGGGAGGGGGGGGTATCCCCTCACCTCACACACAACCCCTCAGGGGGGTTCCCACACCCCCTTACCCCGCACACAGTCTCTCGGACGGGTCCCCTCACCTCCCACACGGCCCCTCGGGGGCGTCCCCTCACCTCACACGCGACCTTTTGGAGGGGTTCCCTCCCACACCCCCCGCGCCCACACTCAGCCCCTCGGGGGGGTCCCCTCACCTCGCCCCCCCCTCCGCGCTCACCGCTCGCGCCGGTCCCGCCGCACGCGCCGCTCGGACGTGGCAGCGGAGGGGGGCGGGGCCGGGCCGGTGTCCGGCGCGCGCGCGCGCCCGCCCACCCTCGTGCACAGCCAATCGCGGCCGACCCCGGCAGTGTCGCGGGCCAATCGCCGCCCGGCGGCCACGCCCTCCACCCCCTCACCCCGGCGCCTCGCCGGCCGCGCGACCTTTCGGCAAAAACCCCGCCCCCGTCGCCCCGCGCGCGCCGTGGCCACGCCCCCGCCCTCGGGGAGGCCACGCCCCTTCACCGGCGCGTCCCGCCCTCAGCGCCGGGCCAAGATGGCGGTGGAGGGTCCGCGGGATTGGGGTATTCTGTTGCTGTTCCTGCCGCCCACCCCCCGCCTCAAGAGTCTTCTCACCCTCACAGATACTCCCCTGGGTTCAGCGGGCGAGGGCAGCAAGGCTACCGGGACTTCAGCTGCCCCCCTCACCCCGCCTCACGGGTACAAAGGCCAAGGCGTTTGCCCTGGAGTCATAGATTGACAGGAGGGTTTGGGTTGGAAGGGACTTTAAAGATCATCTCGTTCAACCCCCTGTCATGGGCAGGGACACCTTCCACTAGACCAGGTTGCTCCAAGCCCTGTCCAACCTGGCCTGGAACACTTCCAGGGATCCAGGGACAGCCACAGCTTCTCTGGGCAACCTGTGCCAGGGCCTCTCCACCCTCCCAGCCAGGAATTCCTTCCCAATATCCCATCTACCCTGTCCTCTGGCAGTGGGAAGCCATCCCCCTTGTCATGTCACTCCAGGCCCTTGCTTGGATAATTTTCATCTCTGGAGGATTGTTTTTGGAGGCTGCATTCTCTCCTTGGATAAGACGTGCTGGGAAGGGCCTTGTTCAGCCGCCAACGTTGTGAGTGAGGGTTTTTTTTTCAATAAAAAAGCCCAACTTTGTGATCGTCTCAAGAGACTTTTATGAATAGTTGAGGTCAGGGCACGCATGTAGCTTTGAGCAGAACTGGTGAGCACAATAATTACACAAAATGCTTCTGAGACATGATTTTCATTTTCCATGTGTCTCCCTCGTTATTTTACCCTCTGAATGAATCACTCTGTAACCGTGGAAACAATCAACATTCCTTATTTTTGACTTCTTCAGGCCCAGAGTGACCAGATGACACACACCCCAACCTCCCTGGGTTCAGGCACACCCAAAATCTGGGGGCGAAGCTCCCAGGCTGGAGCCAAGGGAGTCACCGCAACATTTAACCTTTCATTGCAAGGGAAAGGCACAAACTGGGGATGAGTTTCCCCTTCTACCCCTTCTCTGTTTATTTCCTTTGTTTTGAGGGATTAAGAGGACCGGGAGTGTCCCATCCACGATAAAAATGAACATTATGTTGCACTGCTTTGGCCTGTTGGACAGGGAAATTGGGAGTGTGGACACATTTCCCCTGCACGAAAAATGTCAGAGGTTTATCTGAACTGCCTCCGTGGTGCCTGTTCCTCGTTGGAAAGATTTTATGGATATGAGGTAGATTTTACATTTTGCCTAAGTCACTGGGGAAAGTCGAGGCTTTTTAAAACCAAAATCGTGCCATAACAAGGCCACGACCACATGGGGTCAGCCCAGCTCTCCCCAGTGAGGTTCAGGGCAGAGGTCCTGGACCTGCACTGGGAATAAGGTGACTATTGGACGAGCCTCGTCCAGGTGCATCCTCCCAGTTTCCAACGACCTGCTGTGTGGGACATCCTGACCCAGAGGGTCCATCTGGCCCGTGGGATTTAACAGCTGAGCAGCACAATCCTCTGTGTGTGTATCTCAGCTCCTGACCTCCAGAGCTCCTGTGCTGCAGTTGGGATATTGAAAAATGATGAAAAAATCCTTTTTTTTTCCCAGTTAAACCTTTTGTCCTGCCCCAGCAGGGCTGGGTTTGTTGGTCCTGGAGACCAGTGCTGTCCTATTTACCACCACAGGTGCTGACAAATGTTCTGCCTGTAGATTTTGCGGCACCAAGAGTCTAAACCAGAGTGGGGAAATGATCTGGATCCTGTCATTCCAGGCCCTTGTAAATAGTCCGTCTCCATCTTTCTCGTAGCTCCCTTCAGGTACTGGAAAGCCACGATTAGGTCACTCCAGAGCCTTCTCTTTTCCAGGCTGAACAATCTCAATACTCTCAGCCTTTCCTCATAGCAGAGGTGCTCCATCCCTCTGATCACCTTGGTGGCCTCCTCTGGACTCGCTTCAACAGGACAATTATATTGATTAGTTTGTCCAGCATGGAAAAGCTGGATCAGGAATCAGCCACTTTGCTGAGTCAACACTTGAAATGTGCTTTGCTTCTGTCTGGTGACCAGTGACAGGACCTGAGGGAATGTTTGGAGCTGTGTCAGGGGAGGGTTACTTTGGATATTGGGAAAAGGTTCTTCCCCCAGAGGGTGGTTGGGCACTGAACAGGCTCCCCAGGGCAGTGGGCACGGCCCCAAGGCTGCCAGAGCTCCAGGAGTGTTTGGACAACGCTCTCAGGGACAGGGTGGGATTGTTGGGGTGCTCGTGCAGGGCCAGGAGTTGGACTGATGATCCTTGTGGGTCCCTTCTGACTCAGGATATCCTGTGGTTCTTACCAGGGCCAGGGAGGATCCACAGCAGCCAACAGAGAAATCCTCCCGATACCTCCGAGGCCAGGCTTTGGTTGCTGGAGACCAAGGGGAAAGTTGAATTAACACATTTCCACTGGTTTCCACATTTCCACGTGTCCTCTCTGACAATTCCACTGCGGCATATTCTGTTGCAGAGGGGAAAAAAAACCAACCCTCCAGCCAAGCGATATCTTCTGGCTGCTCTGAATTTGCCAGCGCTGGAACAGGGCGGTCACAAAGCAGGGAAATTGAAAATTCCTGACAGCAGGACAGTCAGAAGGATGGGAAAGGAGCCATGCACTTGCTTGATGTAAATGTCTGAGCCCGAACACACCCTGCTATTTATGAGAGGGGAAAAAGTGCTCTCCTTTCCTTCGGCTCCATGACACAAGGCAGGAAGAACGAATAAATCCCTGCCACAATAAAACTGTTTACATTCTGTTTTGGAAACATGCTTAGGGCTTGGAATACCCAGGGACCAGACTCTTTGGTTCTTTTTAACCTCTCCTAGACAGGGCTGTATCCAACCACCAATAAATCCTGGGGGGTGGAAATGTGTGAAGAGCTGCACAAACCAGCTCCAAGCACCTGGATTTTGAAGAGGACCCAACTCCTGTTTATCCCCTGGAAAGAAAGATGCTGCTGTGTGTCCCCAAGTGTTTCCTGCAGATGGATAAAATAAAGTCAAGAGGAAACCTGGCAAAGCTCTGCTGCCACCCAGCTGGCCCCCTGGGACCTGGGAAATGGCATTTCCTTGGGGCTTAGGATGGTGTTAGAGCAGTTATGGAAGGAGAAGTGCATCTGGACTGTGTCTGCCTCGCTGGAAGTAATTATCCCATCATTATCCAAGCAGCCAAATGTAATTTAACTGCAGGGGAAGTGTTGGGAACCACAGGTGTGTTGCAGCCCCAGCCTGCCATCCATGGAGGCTGGAAGTGTTCAGTGTCTTCAGGGTTTCTCATCTTTCCTCTACATTTCCCAAACCCACTTTTTTTTTTTTTTTTTCATGGAGAAAATCCCTGCCTGAGGCTGACAACATCTCGCCTCATTAGTGCTCAAATATCCTGGCCTAGAGTCCAAGTCAGAGCTTGAAAAATACACAAAACCAGCTCCAAACTTATTTATGGCTGTCACCCCTCCTTTGCACGTGTTTTATGGGAAGTGAGATAGCATCAACTCATCCCAGAAAATTGGTGCTGAGATCAGATCACGAATCTGGCTGATATATGGGGGATGAAGCCCAAATGGTGCTTCTGATCCCGAAGTGCTGCAAATACAGAGGTATATGCACTGCAGGTGACTCCAGAGGTTTGAGATCCCTGCAGGTAAAAGGGTATTTTCTCACCAGCCACAGGCAGAGCACTCCCAG